GGGGGGGGGGGGGGAATATTGGAGGCATCAAAACAAGGAATATTCTGGACTGAAACTCACTTTTCATAGAAAGACGAATATTAAGACAGTGAATATTACCACCTGAAATACACAGCTTTCTATTCACACCCCCAGGGCAAAGTAACAGTTGGCTAATGTTGACTGTACTAAAGGTGTAAGCTAAAATGGAGTTTTTTCATCTATTTTTTTTTTACCAGCCAAAATTCAGCCTTTTCAGCCTTCATCTCCTGCACAGGGAAGAAAACTTCCCAGAGATAGTAACAATGAAAATGTGGATTTAGAGAAAGCATCAATCGACATTTGATTCTGGCAGGTTAACGCTAATGTTTTCTTTTCTTTTTTTGTATTTTTGAAGACGTTCACTCGTTTCAGTTCTCTTCATGAAGTAAAAACAGAAATCCAGCTGCCTTCAGTTTACCTTGAAAGAGAATCACACCTCATTTCCTAAAATGTGGTTAAAGAGTATTTTTAAAGTGCGACTGAATTAAAGTTTACGATTCTGATGGACAACATTTATTAGGCTGAATATTTTTGGCGTAGAAGACAATTTGATGTTTTCACCTCTGAAGAAACAGGTTTGCAGGAGTTCAGCAGCGGAGTAGAAGGGCAGTGGGTAGGACAGCAGGGCTTTGGCCAGCAGACATAGATTGATCAAAGGTCGAAGGTCATGGGGAAGGTTGTCAGTGATGACTTCACGGGTCTCTGTCCCCCAGGTCAGCACCGCCTGGAGGAAAGACGAACAATAAAACGCTGTTTGAGACTAGAAAAACTGCATTTTCTGTAAAAACGCAAAATGAATGCTTGTTGTCGAATGATTGTTTGCTAAAAGCTGCCGAAGAAGTGGAAATCTGAAAAGGTTTAATTGCTAAACAACGTGAGTTTAATTTAACAGGTGACGTTTGCTCATGAAAATAAAAGCAGAAAGTAACAGAATAAGCTGAAATAGGCAGAGAGAAGCTGAAGAGTTTGCAAAAAAGGCTGAAATTAGACACAAAAAATAGCTGGAAATACAACAAAAGCAGAAATTAGCAGAAAGAGGCTGAAAGGAGCATAAAACATCAGAATTATTACAGTTATTTTAGAATGTTTTTATTGGGTTAGCAAAGCTTTTTAAAAGTTTTGTGGCATTTTTGAACTTGTGTTGTTTTGCATGTATGAGCCGAATGTCAACGATACGTCTCCACTTCATGGACTGTTATGGACAATAAAGTTATATTGAGTTAATTGATTGATTTATTATTCGAAAGAAGTACAAAAGTTGGAAATTAGCTAAAATAAATAGCAGAAAAGGGCTATAATTGGAACACAAAAAGCTCATATTAGCAGAAAAGAGCTGGAAAAAAAAAGCTGAAGAATAAGAAAAGCTGAACTGAGCAGTGAAAAGTTTTAAACATACAAAGCGTCTGAAGGATGAGAAAAGAACTGAACTAATTTTCAATTAATAAAACAAGCCAAAATTTCACTAATGCCAAAAGTCACAGCAGGAATGTCCTGAATGAGCCGAATGGTTTGATATATGAATTATTGGAATAGCACAAAAATTGCGGAAAGAGTTCAGCGCCAAAAAATGTACGGAAGAAAAATTGATCTGAATTGCGTGAAGGCATCCACAATATTGAGTTTTTTATGGTGGAAAAGAAACATTCAATTGAGATGAGAATATAAGTTCTCAGTGTTTAAATATTGCCCCCGTTTCCTCCAGATGTCACCAACCAGTAATGAAAACAGAGTTTTCATGAGGCAGGCCGCGGTGTGGGTCCACCCCAGCATGGCTTCGAACTGCCCTCGGTCCTCCATGCTGTCCTCTAACGGAGGGAGGAAGATCTGCGAGGTGTAGGAGAAGATCATGACGCCCACTGAGACCAGGAAGTCTTCTGGGTCCACGTCCAGAGACAGAGAGGACCAGGACCAGCTGCTGGCACAGCTCAGACAGTACAGCATGACCAAGAAGCTGACAGAGAGGCAAGACAAGACAGAAAGCTATTTTTAATCCTTATTTAACAATCTCCAAGCTCCTTTTTAACACCAAACAATTATTATTATCATTTTACTTGAAGGTATACAGAACAATTAAAATATTACAAAAAAAATTATAATGAGAAAACAATCAAACCCACTCATTAAAAGTTTGATATTTTCAACAACAAAGTGCTTAAAACAATGAAGGCATGAGGTTTTTACTGTTTATCTGATTAGACACTATATTTTACATAACTGCAGAAAATTTAAAACAACCCAAGACTGAAGCAGATAATATTATAGTGAGCAATATGAGCAGGTATTTGTGAGTTAACTTGTTTTTTTTTTTTTAAATGGTGTTTTGTCACTTTCTTTTGCTAAATTTTAACAATGATTTTAAAAACTGAGGTCTTTGGCCATAAAAAAAATCAGAGAAGCATGATCCAGTCATATAACTCCTCCTGGTGGCAATGTACCATATGTTTCAGACTATAAAACGCACTTAAAATCTTTAATTTTCTCAAAAATCGACAGTGAGCCTTATAATCCAGTACGTCTTACTGACATAAAACCGATTGTATATGGTACATCTGAACAATGTTGAGAGTTATTGTGAATGAGTTGAGGAAAGTTTGACTTATCTGACTGTTTTGTTTCACTTAATGCACCTTATAGTCTGAAAAATACAGTAATGGGTTCTGATGTCTCCATACAATACCTTGGAGTCATTTGTGGACCAAGATGTTTCTATTTAATCTCTAAATTCAGGACATAGAGTTCTAACAAAGTTAAGTCAGGTCCTCAAGATGGATTAAAAAAAATTGCTGAAACATTTTGTCTTTTATCCAAAAGACTTTGTCAGCCTGAGGAGCTGCAACAGACACATTAACTCGGTCGATAACAACATCAAGTTCACCAGAGAGGATGCAAACGACAACAACTTGCCTTTTTTGGACTGTTTGGTTCAGATGGAGAGAGAGGACAGCCTCAACATTGAAGTGTACAGGAAACCAACCCACACAGACCAGTATCTTCTGTTTGACTCCCACCATCCACTGGAACACAAACTCTCTGTCATCAGAACTTTACAACATCGGGCCGAATGCGTCCCCACAAGGACAGAAGGGAAGGAAAAGGAACTGAAACACGTTCAAGAAGCTCTTCTAACATGTGGATATCCTAACTGGGCTTTTGTCAAGTCAGCGAGGAAATCTACAAAACACATCAATAAACAGAAAAAGGAGAACAACAGACGTAAAAACATTGTCATCCCTTATGTTGCTGGAGTATCAGAGAAATTCAGAAGGATCTTCAACAAACACAACATCCCAGTACATTTCAAACCCAGCAGGACTCTCAGACAGAGGCTGGTCCACCCTAAGGACAAGACACCCATACACAAACAGAGTGGTGTAGTGTATGCGGTCCAGTGCAGCGAGGACTGTCCAGACCTCTACATTGGAGAAACTAAACAGCCTCTTCACAGACGCATGACTCAACACAGGAGAGCCAGCTCCACAGGACAAGACTCAGCTGTTCACCTCCACCTCACAGATAAGGGACACTCTTTTGAGGACCAAAATGTGCACATTTTGGACCGAGAACACAGATGGTTTGAGAGGGGGGTGAAGGAAGCAATTTATGTAAAAAGAGAAAAACCATCTCTCAACAGAGGAGGAGGCCTCAGATTCCCACTTTCAAAAACATATAATGCAACTTTAAAACAGATTCCCAGCCGGTTTTCACACCTGATGGGAACAGAGGGGTCTCATCTGTGAATTAGAGGAACAAAGACCTACTGTTTTAGGTTTTAGGTGTGAACTGCCAATCTACATATATGTGTGGGTGTGTGTGTGTCTTATGTGTGTGTGTGTCTTATCTCACTCAGCCTTATAACCTGTATCTCTCACTCTCTGCTCTTTGAATTGAGAAAGCTCCTCGGATGAGGAGCGAAACGTCTTCTGTTACAAATAAAGTCCAGTTGTTTTTGTATTGAACGCTTTTTGAATTCATCATGTCCTGGATGACTGAGAATCTTCACCAGCAACAAACAGTCTTATAAATATCACCTTTTCATAATTGCTCAACCAGTTTGATGGTGACAGCTAGTGGTGTAACGGTGCATGTGGGTGTATTGAACCGTTTCGGTACAGCGTGTTCTGTTCGGTCCACCTGCGTACCGTTTCAGTTATTTTTTCACTCATTAAATTTTATAAACGAGAGATTATGCGCCGTGGAACCAAAGTTCCTAAGCATGTTTCAGCACGGCGCTATAATCTTGTAGCACGCGCAGCATTAGCAGCCTAGCAGGAGACCCTTTCATCTCGTTGCGGTCACCTGTTTGAGAACATTATGGCTTTCTGGCTTTAAGCATATGATAAAGTTCTTGAGCCCTGCTACGACATCCCATCACGTCAACACTTCAGCCAAAAAGTTGTAGCAGCACTTTATGAAAAAGCTAAAACTGATCATCAACAAGCCCGACCCCAGATTTAAAGCCCTGCCCTGATGACGATGAGTGATATTCAACCACCTCATAACAGAAATGATGACAGTGCAAGAAGAGGTATTGTCATTGTAATATTGTGATCTAATTAACGTTTTTTATTTAAAATTACAATCTTATTAACTCAATTTTTTTTTACCTCTTTGTGCCGTTTGCAGTCTGAGGATGTCACCAAGAGCTGAGCAGCTGAGTCTTCTTCCTCTTCAGGGAATTTTTTTATTTATTTTTATGCAAACTTATTTTTCACTTGGAATATTTTCAAAATAAACGTGTTGTAAGTCTTTATTTTGACCTTTTTATACAGAAAATTAACCGAACCGAGCTCTTCTTGAAACTGAACCGAACCAAAATGTGATTTTAGCGTACCGTTACACCCCTAGTGACAGCCAAAACTAGCTGTTCACACGATACAGGAGGACCATCAGCCTAATGACTGATCGTTAGTGCTCTGATGACCACTTGCTATTCACAGAGCACAGATAGATAGATATAAATAGATAATTCACAGAGGATTCTGGATAAAAGATGAAACATTTCAACATTTTTTTTAATCCGTCCAGAGGACCTGACTTAAATTTGTTAGAGTTTTCTACTTGGATTATTGAGGATGACTCAGGATATGTTTAGTTAAGTTGTATGTTAAATACACAGCAAAGTACATAACATATCTGATGGTGGGGCTCGAAAATGTCTAAGTGCTTTAATATGTAATTTATACCATCAAATTTATTTGTTTCTGTATAAATGTGACCAAAAACACTGCTGATTAATTTAAAACAGTTAAGAAGGTAAGAAGACTGGTAACACAACAATAAGAGTGAGAATTAGAGCATGTTAAGTTAGCTGCGTACTAGCCCTGATATGTTTTTTTTTTTTCTTCTGTTGTCTATGTGTTGCCTTGTCACCTTATGAGTATATGAGCCAGGGAGCAGAGCAGGCTGAGAGTAGAGACTGGTCTGAGATCAGTGAGCAGCAGGCAGGGCAGGAGGAACAGCAGAGACACGAGCGAGCACGCTGATCTGGGAAGAGCCAGTCCTGACAGACAGTCACTCAGCAGCGTGGTGGAGACCAGCAGGTACAGAGTGCAGGTCATGAGCAGCTCAATGGTCTGCAGCGAAAGAGATTCACCCAATCCTTTCACTGCATCGCTCGTCATGCATACATCTTTTTATATTATGTTTGTTTGTTTTTAGTTTACCTGGGCTGCATTAATCATCCAGCCTCCAACTTCTGACCAGTTTGGACAGAGTCCTTTGCAGCAAGCGCTCATGATATCCTGGTAGCTGTGTCGAACTCGAACCTTTGACACCAAACCGGACCCTTCGCTAAAACACAGAAACACTATTGATGATAAGCAGGTATATAACATGCCTTCACCAAACCAAACACTCGGACAGTTATTTTAACAGCACTACCTTTGCACCTCTTCATACAAACAGGCCACCAGGCTCCTTCCTGTGTGGTTGCAGACCCAGGCTGACAGAACCAGCACGACTAGACCCACATACCCTGAGTGGACCAGGGCAAAGGGCAAACCCAACACAAAGATGCCCTGAAGAAAGGGACAGATAACACTTTAGAAAAGAAGGTTTGGGAGAAATGCAAAAGATAAAGTACATTAAAATGTCTTTGCTCAGTATTTTACTTGTATTTTCTGTCTTGTTTAATAAGCTTGTGTTAATTAATAATAACCAAAGGAAATCATTTTTTTAAAGATATGTTTGCCTCATGCATCAAACATTTTCTTTATCTGAAAAACTCTAAAATCTTCAGTTGACTCAAAATGCAACTTCCAGAGCAACGTTTTTCCAATTTTAGCTTTTCTCCATTGGCTCTTACGTCTAAAATACAAAGTGCTCAACAACCAAGCTCCATCTTCTGTAAATTATCATATTGATACATATTTTCCTAACAAATTACTTTGTTTTCAGACTGCAGGTTCACTTGTGGTGAATTTCTAAATAAAAGAATGGCTGGCAGAGCTTTCACTTCTCAGGCTCCTCTCCTCTTCGCTCTCCTCCAAATTCCATTTTCTGTCTGTGAGGCTGACACCCTGCCTGGTTTTAAAACTAGGCTTAAGATGAGTGGAACAGTGGTCAGAACTGTCACCACACAGCAAGAAGGTCAGATGATCACCTCCTGGTCAGGTACCTTTCTGGGTGGAGTTTACATGTTCTCCCTGTGCATGCCTGTGTTTTCTCCAGATACTCAGATTTTCTCCAAAAGACCAAAATCATGCATGTTTGGTCCACAGGTAACTATAAATTGTCCCTAGGTGTGAGTGAGAGAGTGACTGGTTGTTGGTCTTGTTTGGCTCTATGTGTCCCTGTAATGGAATTGCAAACTGTCAAGGATTTCCCCCACTTCTCACACAGTGACTGCTGGATATGGGCACCAGCTCCCCTATGAACTGTAAAAGACAAATGGGTAAAATGGAAGGATGGATGGGTGGATGACAGATGGATGGATGATGGATTAAGGATGGCTGGCTGGATGAATGATAGATGGATGGATGGATGGATGGATGGATGGATGGATGGATGGATGGATGGATGATGGATGGATGAATGGATGGATAACTCATGGATGGTGGATGAATAATGGATGGATGGCTATACAGATGGAAAAATATAGGATGGATGGA